CATGCGAAAAGGAGTGTGAACGATCAGCTGCTTTAATCAGATTTGAATTCCCAAATGGTGCCATAATGGCCCAGATGGTTAAGGCGTCTGACAGCAGAAGGACCCAGACTGAAGCCAATTACATGCCAATAAAATATTTAAAACAATTCAATACCAATAAATCGGTTAAAAAAGACGGCCATTTTGAATTTCAAAATGGAGGCCCAAGATGTGAATGAAAAAAGTGACACCCACATTTTTCTTAATCAGCAGTGTTTTTAGAGTTTTTTAAACATCTGCCCAAAATTTTTCTTTCTTTTTCTATATTAAGCCACCCGCAGCCTGTTTCATTGGTCAATTTTCTGAACTCTTCTAGCGATTCTGAGATTCATGAGATTTTACCAAACTATCCTACGTTAAAAAATTGCCTCACACGCACGCTGCGGGTTCGTTGGGGGCGCTCTTCGACAATTGATTGACGCTACTTCTTCGATCGTACGTAACGTATCGTCGGTCGCTGGCGGAGAAAGATTGTGTGGAAGGAGCTCTTTCTCATTTGTTTAGAGTGTAAAACCCTTAGTTTAAAATGCCTAAGTAAGTCGAATATTAAGTAAAGATTTACCAAAATTTGCGGTGTTGACAGTAATTCATATTAACGTAAATCATGATTACATGCTATGACTAGAAATTAGGCCCTAGTCTAGGTCACTTACGATAGGCAAGCCTAGTCTAGCTAGGGAAGCGCCTAGGCTAGCCTACCTAGGCCAAGGCCCGTAGGTCTACTAGGCTAGGTTTTATTGAAGGGATAGGCTGGCCTACAGTAGGCCTAGGCGGTTGGCTAGCTAGAGACCTAGTCCCCTACGCTTTCTAGTGTCTAGCAGTAGGTACATATTCTAGGCTAAGCTTTTAGGCTAGGCCTAGTTAGTAGAGTATTAAATAGGCCCAACTAACAAGCAAGGCTAAGAAGAAGAGGCTTTTTGCTGCGAAGCAGCCAATTCATATTCTTGACAGCAATTTAGCAATTACTAATATAGACAATGGGTCGTGTCTCATATTATTTGTTATATTTTTATTATTCATTATTTTCACTTGACTCGCATAAATAATTTTGTTCGAAGAACATTTATATGCAGTTGTACTTCGCAGCACTTCACTTGCAATTTGCAATTTCTAGTTTTATACCTTGTTTGTAACCTTGTTCCTTAAACTTATTTTTTTTAAAGATTATCAGAAAATCGAGCCCTATCTTAACAACTAGTCTAGGGCTAGTATGTAGTAGTGGTACAGTAAAACTTTCCTAAGTCGATCTTATTTTACATGCCAAATTGTTGTGTTTTTCATTGATTAACGATTGAACGATTTTTCACTGCCATTTTGGATTCAACTTAGGCAAGTTCAATTGGCAGTAGGACCTAATTAGTATGTCAGAGGCCTAGGTCCTAATGGCAATTTTCCGAAATATTTCTACAGACTAAAGGTAGGCCTACTACTGACTGCCATTATGCACAAATGAATTCAAACTCAATGTGTGATATGGTGATAAACATAATAGAATGTTCAATATTTACGTGGTCCAGATACGTATACATAGAAATTTAACTAATACGATTGTAGTCCGGTTTTGAGTACACTATAGAAAAAAGAGAGCCGAAGGAGCCTTGATTTCCTGAAACCTGTGGGGCTGAAGGCAATTTTTGAAGGAAATAAAGGATCCTAAGGCTTCTATTTCCTGTGGTGTAATATGGATTTACGTAACTATAATTGCTTTATAAGTCAGTTGTGACGCCATCACCTATGGTCCTTTTCAAACTGATGGTTGCGGTGGCCGGTTTTGATCAATATATTAACTGCGATTTGTTTGGTAGTACACACACAACTCTTCACACAGATCTTTGCAGCTCTTCACAATACAAAGAAGATGAATAAATTGATTGTGGTTTACTAGGTAGACATTAGGAATTTGTTTATTAGATTAAAATGTATTGTAAACATTATGAATTATTTCAGCATTGCCTTATTTTTTTTATTTCAATCATCTTGTTATCTCATAAGCATTACGCCTTTCTAGGCTTATCCTGGGATGGTCTAGAATTCATTTGTGTTAACCAGCGCCGTAGAGGGAGATTTGTTAGGTTCGCTGTGTGCATTCATAGCTTGGCCTAACAACATAGTATTCATTGTTATGTATAATCATCCCAGCTTTTTGGTCACCATGACCAGATATACAAAAGATCGGAGGCACTACAATATAACAAATTAGGGATCAGACGGGATCAGGGATAGGAAAATTCAGTGCAAATGAAAGTTATGATGTCACCACTGATTTATAATAATTATTATTCATTTTAATATAAAACTTATAATTTGTTATACAGTACTTAGTTGGAGAAAACAAATGTTTAAAATTTAAGAATAGCTTCTGGTTCAGCTTTAATGCACATTTTTTAAGATTTTTTTTTTTTTGAGTTACAACAGTAATGTTAGTAAGGATGAATGTGGAATACTTTGAAAATGCAGAAAAGCTGAAGCTGATCTTAATTTTTTTGAATAATTTAACAAACATTAAAATTACTATTTGTTTTATTTTAAATTTCAGATACTATTGTGATTATTGCGATACATACCTAACCCATGATTCAGTAAGTATCAAGAATTTGCTTGAAACATTTGCAGCATAATTGTGCTGCATTACGTATGGGCATAGTCATCTATGGTAGCAACCATAGAAACACAGTTAGCAGCTTCATTTTCACATCATTCCACAAAGTGCACACAAGACAGATGTGTACATTGGACCTCCTGTTTAAACTCCATATCCAAAACAACTTGGTTCTGTTTACCACTAGGTGGGGATGTTGTCCATGATCTCTAAGCACCTGGTTGTCTGTTGCAGAACAAATGTGCTTACTGTTCCTTTGATGGAGTCACCTAGGTATGGGTCTTGGATTGCGCTAAAGTGGTGGTTGATAGTGACCCTCAGAGATTCTGCATTTTATTGATATTTATTTCTGGAAATAAATCCTGTGTTGGGATTTAGAGTGTTATCCCAGATATCAACATTGATGACTTGCTTGTTTTCTCATTATTGTTTCTCTGTATTCTGTTATTCCGGTTTTGTGATGTTTTTCTGTTGATATCTATAAATCAAGTCAACTCAAAATTCATCAGGTAATTTAAATTCTCAAATATTTGTATTACAATCATAAACAGCTTGTATGGCACCATCAGTTTGCCAATTTATATGAGTTAAGTATTCAGCTCTTTTGACCACACCATCACAAGATTTTTTTAAAAATCCACAATCCATTCCAATTACAGGTGTCGGTATTAATACGCTTGTGTTTTACTTTTTCAGCCATCTGTTAGAAAGACACACTGTACTGGTAGAAAACACAAAGAAAATGTAAGAATATATTATCAGAAATGGATGGAGGAGCAAGCGCAGAATCTTATTGATAGAACAAGTGAGTTTTTTTTTTGTTTTTTTTTCCCACTTTGGAATTTCCATTTCATACAGTATATCACCCACCAATAACAGGATGGCTCTTGAGGCTTTATAATAATGAAAAACTGTCAGATATTTAACCAGAAAATAGATGGAAATCAAAATGTTAATACAGTAGTAATGTAAAATGAATTTGAATGACTTTTATAAGTGCATCTCATTTGCTGAAACTGGAGAGGGCTCACATGTAATTAAAACAATAATATGTGCTTTAAATTATTTAAATGTACAATTTTGTTTTATAGCTGCTGCATATCAAGCAGGTAAAATACAACACAACCCCTTCCCAGGAGCAGCAGGTGTACCCCCTGGTGGCTCAGCTATTCCACCACCTGCAAACTATGCACCTGGTGGTCCAAGACCAGTTGGACCAGGTGGTCAAGTAAGGGGACCTCCACCTGGAATGGGACCACCACCTGGATTACTGATGAGACCACCTGGCCCAGGCGGACCAAGTAAGCATTAAATTTTACCTCTTTCCAACAATTATTGGTTTTTTTTTTTCTTTTAAGAATGCATTGTGGTATTACCGGTAGTTACTTTTACTGAAGGTGTTCTGTGTTTTTAACATTTCTTACAATCCTTCATCTTTCAAGTAGTCTAGAAAAAGCAATGCTCATGATTTTTCTGTACTGTACTAGGGGAACTTTCAACTGCCCAATAATGTAAATATTCTCTGCACAACTTATAATAATAATGACTTTATTTGAAAATGGAAAACTTGATCACAAATTAAATGTGTTTTTCACAAGGCCATTTTTGAAGTAAATTTAAATTACAAAAACAATTACAAGACAAAGGAAAGACTTTAAAAAAAAAAGCAAAACAGAAATAAAAAAGTAAAAAGAAACCAAAAATATATATATTATCTTATGCAAGAAACTTTCGGTTATTTGTTACGACATTATTATTTTTCTAGATTTAACTATTGTTTCACGATACAGGATATTATTACTTTCTTACGTATTAATTAATGTGAATCTATATAAATTTATTAATTTTCCTTTTTCAACAGTGATGCGACCAATGGGATCAGGACCATTATTAGGACCTATGCCACCAATGGGCCCTGGAATGATGCCCCCACGAATGTTATCAGCACCAAGAATGCCTGTCTCAACTGAACAAAAATGAAGTAGCGAGCAAAAGAACTTCTTTTAGCAATTTTTGAGACTTGCAAAACTTAATGCGTATGTTGGTACTGGATAAGATGAAATCAGTAAAGATTCTGTCAGTTAACAAGGTCTTGAATTCTAGAATAATGCTGGTGTATTTGACCTTGGCAAGGATTCCAGGATAAGTTAGACATGTACCCCCATCATAAACAAGTCCCTACCGTCTAACAATTTGCAGATAGGAAGTCAAGTTACTGTCAATACTTTAATCATACAAGCATCTTGTGCCTGCTATGTCTAAGAAAATTCCATTTACCATATGTGATGAAATAATGAGTGGACTAGGCAGCGGGTTGCATTTCACGTCTAGGATTTATTGACAGAAACAGACTTTCCCAAACTTGAGAAAAGCTGGAGGTAATTTAGACCTGTAGCGATGTCGCTCACTTTCAACATGACATGTTTCTTTAGGTCAAGTGGAGAAAAAATAGGTTCTCATCCTTCCCCATTTTTTGGGCCGTAGCCTTTTTAAAAAAGTTGATAAGTCTGGTAACACTCGCTTAATATGATCTATACAGGACACAAAATATAAATTACTACTATAATAATTAATAAATTTTTACTTGGCCTTACTGTACCTCTCAAATGAGCATCTTGTTGGTTGATTGATAGCATTAAGCTGTGTACAGATTATCAGATTCTATTTAGGCATATCACATGTTTTTGTCAAATCAAATTTGATAGTCTTGACAGGGCCTTGAGTTAGTACTACATGGTGCTGTAGAATATTTCATTATATTGCTTATATAATGTATACTATAATAATGCAATAATAATAGTATTCAACATACAATGCTCATTTCCGTTTTAATACATTGTGAATGTTTTTTGTACAAATAAAACACCTTTTGACCAAACATGAGGCTTGTATATTAAGTTGATTTGTTATGTTGTACATAATAATGTCATTATTACAGTACTGTACAGTACAATAATAATTTTACAATACTAAAATAAATGTTAATTACATTATTGTTATTAATATAGCACTATATACTATAAACACATTATCTTCAATAAATAAAAATATTATTCATTTTTTTTTTGGTAAAGAAATGATGCTCATTACTGTAAAAGGAAATACCCATGGTGTTTCCAGAGAGACTCATTTTAGGATATTGAATTTTAAAAGAATCAGCTTATTGCATATCCATTTCATAAGGCACTTGGTCTCCTTCCCTGGTCATTGGATACAGGAGACTCTCAATTAAAAGCCCGAAGACTTCACGATATGCCACATGGCTTCTACATAGAAACTATCCACCCACCCCTGCAAAAATATTTTACAGTACTATTAAACCTCCATATGAACATAACTGAAGTGGGAGGTAAGCACAACATTACTACCTGAGGAAGACATGCCTTTACAAGAAGCAGCCGGTAAAGAGTATAACAGTAGCAGAATTCATCTGGTGGTGTTAGCCACTATAATCAAGTTCCATATATAATAATGGTGCTTCTCTTACAGCACACTGCTAAAAACTGCAACACATCCTATCAATGTACGGAAAATCAGAATGTTTGTATTTTTAACAAAATATATATATATATAAATATATATATCTGTCTCTTATACACATCTAGATGTGTATAAGAGACAGGTTCACACATGGTTAAATATCTATTACTTTTTATGATCTTTCCTCTTACGCAAAGCTTCCATCTCGGTAGTCTTTGCATCTAATTTTCTTTGAAGATTAGCTTTTCTGGCAGGGTCAATCTTTTTCTCTTTTGTCCCACTACCATTTCTAAACACCTTCTCTCTCTGAAGTTGGTTGCGTGCTCGAGCATGTGCCTTGTCCCCACAACCATGAATCTCTGGCATGTGGTGAGACAAACAATATCTCCGGTTGCAAAAAATACACAGTTGACCAATAAGTGCTATTTTTTCCTTGCATTTTACAAAATTGCATGTGTTGTCTCCTTTAACAGCTGCAGCAATAAGAGCCTCAAAGTCATCACCGTCCACTTTCTCTATCACTTTCTTTTGATTTTGTTTTGCTTTCTTTTTTGTCACTGATTTATCATTATCTTTCAATTTCTTTATATGCATTTTCTCGCACTGAAGTTCATGCAACAAGAGATTGCCAAGGTTTACTTCCTTTTTGCAGTACTGACAATTCCTAATACTTGAGGCATCAACTTTTTCGATGTTGTCTTCAACAGCAGCTGCTCCCTCAGGGGTCATACCTTCTACTTCCTCTTTAGCTGCCATTTCTGGAGAGCTTGAATGTTTTTTATTTTTTTTACTCTTCATTTTCATTGGCATTGATTGGGTATCATTTGACGGGTGAGCTGCTTTTTCTTTGGTTTGCTTTTTACTAATGCTGATATGACGCATGTTATCTTCACCTGTACTGACATGAATAAGCCCAAGTCTTTCTGCAATCTTAAAAAAAAAAGTTAAAATTTTAAGCAGTTTGAAACAAATCAAAAACATTTGTTTGGAACATTAAACATTACCAAAATCTGGTTTGATCTCTGATTCTTTTGATTTAAAAAATGTTTTAATCCAATCAGATAGATACACAACCAAATTCAATATAGTTAATAATTGTATCCACTCTTTGTGTTATTTAGAGTTATAACAGAGTTAGTTAAATGGACACAAAAATTTCACCTCATGAACTAGAAATCTTTCTTTTGAGTTCAGGTTTGTAGAGAAGGCCATGGCCATTCTGCTGTTATCATTTAAAAATTCCTCAACTTGAGTTTGAATCTCTTTTTCAGTCAGACACTGCATTCCTCCTCTGAAGAAACAAGTTGAACAAAAAAAAAATAATTGCATTAGCATTCAGGTGTTCGTTTTAAATGTTTGTATGCAATCTCTTGCCATTTGAATATTTAAAGTGTTTAATAATGCAAACTTAGAGATACCACATAGTGTATTGGAATGTTACCCCTTGTGCAAAGCTCCATCCAATGGCATGGGTTTATTAGTAGGCCAATATAAGAAATACATAATATGTAATATAGTAGAGAGAGCTGTGTTAGTCTGGTAGACGTATGAAATTAAAACACTGGTGGCCCTTTATAGACTAAATTCAATTATTTAATACACAAGCTTTCGCCTGTAGTCTAAGCTAGATTCATCAGGTGTTGATGTAGCTACCTCACCTGATGAAGCTAGTATAGACTGCTGGTGAAAGCTTGTGAATTAAATAATTGAAAATAGTCATATAAAGTGCAGTGCGACCAGTGCTTTTATTTCATAATTTATAGTATTCATTTTGACAACATACTTTGCAACTGATGATTGTTCTCTAATACTAGCTGTATTCTTGGTAGCAGATTTTCCCCTTCCTTCTCCCTTCTGAGTATTTCCTTTCTTCTGACTTTGCTTAGGCCTAGGATTCTGACATCTTGAACCAGTTGTGGGCTTAACTTTCTTGACGGCAGACACTTTCTGAAGACCACTGAAGTCAATGTAATCAGGCCTAGGAACATCATCCCATTGATTCATTTCTGGGGAGAAGCGATAAATTTAGGATTATGTATCAATAAAGCCTGCTTTGTAAGGTTAATGATTTTCAGTTTATAGAGATTTATGTGTCTGTATAATTTATATACTGTATTACTGTATATCTACATTAAAATAAATTTTGTAAAAGGTGAAAATTAAATGATTCTATTTAAATAGAATTAAATATGAAAATACAACTAGCTAAAGAAAAATGATACAATAAAGTATCTGTGTATATTATAAAGATTCATACCATTCTGATAGTGAAATACACTTCTCACTTCACCATTACTGTTTATGTAATTTACCAATGATTTTAGGAATTCATGATGGCTAACAGTTTCAGAATCGCAGAATACGGCAAGATGTCGTCTGGCACGTGTTATGGCAACGTTGATACGTCGATTCTCGGCAAGAAAGCCAACTTCACCTACGATGGACAAACAAAATAAATTATGCTGCCTCTTACAAGGCAGTTTGGCGCAGTGGGAACGGTTTGGTTTCTCAACCTCGAGGTCGCAGTTTCAATCCCTTACTGTGTATTTTGTTATCTGCATTGCTTCTCTCCACCCTGGTGGGGGTTACCTGCTTTATAACCTCAAGGAAGAGGCACATTATAAATGCTAACACCAGTACCAGTAAATTAGCTAAATATTCTATAATGTATTACCATCTATTAGTAATTGTCTTAACACATGATGGAAACAAAATAATGAATAGGTAATACAGTTTGTTTTGTAGTGGTGATGAATAGGTAATACAGTTTGTTTTGTAGTGGTGAGAAAAAGTTAGTAGCTTATTTATATTTGAATTTAGAACTACTGTATAGAATTGGAAGATGAGCATCTCCACCAAATCTTGAACATGATCTAAACAGACATCAAAGGAATGCTGAATGCTGCCCTCTATATACACACACTTGAAAAACTTCCACAGATTATAATGGGTAAAATGTTTGTGTTAGTAAGTGGCTAATCTCAATTCTTATGAATATTAATACTTCATGAGATAAAGCAATACTAACTACAACACCAGCGAGAAGTAAAAAAAAAACAATAAACGATACTATTGCTTTTAACAAGAGCAATGCTTTTGGCTAAAAATTGTATTAAAGTTCAATAACCTTTGGTATTGGAACGCACAAGGGAGATGATGACTGCTTCCTTTTCTCTTCCTTGAAATCCATCAACAGATTTGATCTCCAAGTCTGGATACTTAGCAGAAATTCTTAAGCGAACAAGATCAACCTAGAAAAATGATTTCAAAATATTACACTGTCTATGAAAACAGATGTTTGGTTTTTTTTAATAGCATTGATTTTCACTGATTTTGATTTGACATAATTATATATTTGGGTATATAAAGCGACTCAGAACTGCGTTCACACCTCCTTATATTCAATGAAAATGTATTGCTTTTATCTCTGTTGAGGATTTTTAAAACTTTAAGAGATGCCTTTAGTGCTTCAATACTGGTATTTTATTATTTATTCTTTATCTTCAGACAACTTTTACCCTATTTACTTAGAGTACTTCACACAAAATGTCATTAAAAATGATAAGCCAACCTGCAGATTGTATGGTGATATTACAGCTATTTCCGATGATCGAAGACCAGATGATAATAATCGCTCAATATGAGCAGCAACTAAATCAGCTTCACCTACAATGAAATTTATCAAAATTTAATATATAAAAGCAGGATTTGATTTATATATAAATATATTCACCATCTATGTATTCCAGAGAGTATATATTCAATCAATCAATCAACCAATCAATGAGTCAGCTTAACAATCTTTACCAATTAAAAATTTGTTTATAGAGTAGTAGCATCCACAAACTATGGAAAAGTTTAAAAATGCAATAGGATTATTCTATTATTTTTAGGGGTGTCCCATTGGAAATTGGTAAGTACAGTATTCTCAAAATAGCTAAAGTAATATCACAGAAACCGAATATTTGTAGCAAGATATTCACAATTATTACACACTGATTTTTACATTTTCAACATGCATTGAAAGGTAGAAGCAGACTATCACATGCCCTCATGACACTATCACTTTAAATAACTGATCAAGGTATTCTACAATACCCAAAGCACATACCTTCGTTACCACGCGATATTTCATCCGGAAGGTCTAGTTCGTGCATGTCACAACCAGCGGTGTCTACTAGCAACAGTGGGATACATGTGTCCTCTGTCTCTGCAACATGTGCAAGGTCCCTGGAGGAATGACAAGATAAAAACCAAACTTTTTATGCCAACAATTGTGATCATTTTAGTTTTTATTTTTAGTGGTTGTAATGTATTGGAAAGTTAACTATATTTGTTAAAGAGTACTTTTTGTATGTTTTGAAACAAACATGTTTCAACATTTAATAGTAAAGAATAAAATCTAAATATTACCACTCATTTTATTAAAATGTTGAAATGTTATCTTCTCAGTGGTATTTTTCCTTCCTTTTCAAAATTTTAGGCTTACTATATATAAGTATGGACATTGACTTCTTCTCTGTGAAAGGGAGAGTGATCTTCCAACAATTCAATGCATAAATTCCATTTCCAATTAAAATCCATCAGGAATTATCAAATCTAATTCTATAAATTGTTTCTGAGTTCTGATCCAAAAACAATTTTAACTCTTCAAGAAATTCTAAAAAAGGGTATAAAAGAGGGAAGCGATTATGACTCATATAGGCAGGTGTTCTAATATGATATAAAACATACAATTCAATTACTTGTGAATATACAATGTAATGTCAGTGATAATGAAGTATTGGCAATAAAGTCCTGAGTCACTCACAACACATCCTCTAAACAACCCCCAGCTATTGACAGCATGAGTCAGTAATCACTGAATTGAAATAACTATATTGATGTGATTCCGCTTTAAGTCATTGCAAATTGAAATTCAGATCACAATTCTACTAATTATACTCACAACTAAATAGTCCATATACAATGCTCCTTAACATAG